AAAAAAAAAAAAAAAAAATCCTAAGGCGTTTGCATTCTACAGTAATATAATGGTTGACATAAAGTTTACACAAATACACATGTGGCAAAATCTTGTGATTTTAAACATCATACACATAGTTTATGACATCGATTAAGTCAAAGCAACATTATTATGACAAGAATCACATACAAAAGCACATTATTGTTTTAACTTATCAAATGTCGTACTTTTGTTTATATTGTTGTTCAGAGTACAACATTTTAGCTTTAAAATATTTTGTTTATATTGTTCAGAGTACAACATTTTAGCTTCAAAATATGCATATCTGCTAAAAAAGTATGACAATCGAACCGATAGACTTGTCTAACCATAGACTTATTGTAACCTTATAAAGGATAAATTTGATATAGAATATTTTATTAGCTTAGATATTAAATCTAAATTTTAACTAAATTTTATTTTTATTTCATTCTTTTCGTATCATGTTTCGAATCATGCTCATCATGTCACTTGTCTCTATAATCACGTAATGATGCATATTCGTGTTGTGTCACTCACACCAAACAGTTTCACAAGGTTTTATCATTTGTCTGTTCATCATTTCACAACAATCAAATACAATCCACAATGACAGACAAATCAGTTGTGCCTCATCATTAACAAACAAAGAATAAGCAGAAAAAATAGATCCAATGGCTATATAGTTTTTTGGCTTCATCAATTCACAGTTGCAGCCAAGTCAGTTGACCGTATGCAAAAAGATTCAAAATTTCATATAGTACTTTTGTCTCCCAAATTCGGCCAAACTTACAGCAACAAAAACGAAACCAGGATACATCAAAAACACAAAAGCCGGAAAAGCCAATTCAGTTTAATGACAAAAGTCAGCATAATACCATCTTAAACTTGAGTTTGAGGGCCGTATCTCGTAATGCAATGCAATTAGTTGACGTCCACCAACTCAACATCAAAGACCAACCATGAGTTTGGAGGTATAACTGGAGGAGATCCTTTAGGCCCATAACTGCATTTCAACATAGACAGCCATGCCCAAGTTAACAAGTGATTACAAAATCTATCCATGAAGTTCATTTTAATTTCAAGATTAATACAATAATCTTTCGTACTTCCTTAGAATGCCGACAGACCCTGTTGGCATCTATATTTATTTTTTTTAAAAAAAATACATGTTATTTTAAATGTAATTTTAAATGATAATTTGTAATTTGTAAATGATAAATGCTACAAGTTTATAATATTGTATATATGTATATATGGGTGTATAAAACACTCACGTTGAGTGGGACCGACCAAAAATAAAAAATCAGGTGGACCCCACTCCATGTGAGTGTTATGTATACCTCTACAAGTACTTTGATGTCACTGGAGCTGCTACATATAGTCTTAGCTTTATAAATGCAGAGCACACACACATGGACACTTGTATCAATGTCTCGGCTTTTACCATTGTTAAACATAACAAGTACTCTTGTTGTCGACAATTTTCATACAATTGATAGGCCAAAATGTTGGACACACTTTGACAGTAAATGTACCCACAGTTTATGGATAAGCAGAATATTTATAGTCAATTATCTATGTTATATTTCAAACTTCAGCTACTCAAACATTTATCATATTTTATTTTCATTCATTTTTTAATTCGGCTTGTTACGTCATAGAATCCTTGGTATCGCACATCGGTTTTCACAGCAAGGAAAGAACACAAAAAATTAAAAGAAAATTATGTTGGCATACCCCATTGCTGGAGGAATCGTGAGTCTTCGTTTGTCCCCTACACGCATGCCTGCACATTCAAATTTTATTTGAATAAACGTCATAAAATCAGCAAAACCAGTAAATCCAATTGTGCAGTAGGTTGTAAGGAGGCAGTAGCTACCATTAACACCAACATCCCATCCCTTTATAACTTGGCCAATACCTGCATAGAGAAGAATAAATTGAACATGGGCACATATGAAGTACTTTAACCATCATCCAGAAATTGCAAGCAAAGGGCATACCTAAACGAAATTTAAAGGGTGATTTTCCAACATTCGAATCAAAAATCTTGTCATTCTTCTTCAGCTTGCCAATGTAACGGACACTGACCTGCAATAACAACAAAGATAAGAATTATGCAAAAAAAAAAAAAAAAAAATGATTCACAATAACTTTGGGAAGCATTAAACAATACAACAAATTTGTCAGTGACAGTTTCACCTTTTTCCCATGAGTAGCTCTTTTCCCCGCTGGATTACCCATTGCTATCTCTTCTACCACCAGACCATTTGAGAAAGTTCTCACTTGCAATGACTTAGCTTCTTTCTTTTGTTTCTCCAAGTCAGCACCAGTTTTGTCCATTGGTTTTATTTCTGCATTAGGAGTTTGTACTATTTCTTGCTGTTTTTTCTGCTTTTTGTTCTTCTTTTCTTTCTTCCTACAATCATTGTGACATAAATACCATTAGTATCCTAATATTTAAATATGGTTGAATGGTAAGTCTTTGGCTATGTCGAAAAGAAGTTTAGTTGCATGCTGAAAATATACCCAATTTAGGAAAAGCTACAAAACTAGTCACAGGCAGGAAAAGATTACAAGTGTGGTATCTAGGCATCAATCAGCAGTGTTATATAAATGTTCCCAAATAACGAGTTCGATAAAAAAAAAATCATTTTGACCAAATAACTTATGAATTAAAAAACTATGGAAGACAACAATGCTTACTTTTTAGGAGCTGGCTTCACTTCATTTCCAACTTCAGCTACTGGAGCTTCTTCGATAGCATTGGGATTTGGCATCTCAGCTACCTGATTATTTTTTTCTTTATCAACAATCTTTTGATTCTTGTTCTTCTTTTTCTTCTTAACTGCAGGTTGGACTGGTTCAACATTTCCACTGCACACACATGGTATATATTTTAAGCACCAAGTTGTCCATAGCCAATAAAAACTAAATAATTCACTAACTTTTTGGAAAATTTAATTCATAAAACCATCTCTTAGGAATTATCCACCTTGCAGGTTTCTCATCTTGATCAACAACATCACTTTTCCTTTTCAACTTGCTACCAAGATCAGCATCACCTTTTTCACTCTTTTTCTGTGTTTTCTCACTGTTCGTCTCAATATTGGTCTTCCCTAAGTTTTTCCAATCTTTGGAGGCATCGGATCTCGTTTTGTGTGAAGATATGGGAAAACCATCTTCATCCTCACTTCCAATGATGGGAAGATCAGTACCATTCTTGGCAACAATCGAGCGGTTGGAGTTCTCATTGTCACCGGACATCCTAGACTCATTTTTCTTCTTTTTTGTACTTTTGGACAAGCCATTCTCATCATTGCTAAGTTTCTCATCATCTACAATTTCTTCAATTTTAACTAAAAAAACAGAATAAAAACAAAAAATTAATAAGAGCTGTATATTATAGCAAAAATAATCTAAATCAACATGTTGTTCCATCACAAGGATGAACTTCATGCAATCATAAAGCCCAAAGATGTTATTTTCCCCAAATCCAGGACAGGCCTCAAATAACAAAAATGTCTTTGTCATGAACATTGTTAACGCACTCAAGGAAAACGTTCAACAGATCATGATCTTTCTCTTGAGATGATCATAAAATATTACAACTACGGGTTTCAAAAGAAGTAACTTTAAATTTAGAAATAAAAAAGTAATAAATAAACCGATCATGCAAAATACCTCCACTGTTGGGAACAGGCGAAGAAGGATACATGTCAAAGTCATCGTACTCATCTTCATCTTCGGAGTCAAAGCTAGAACCACCATCTTCAGAATCAGTCACCATAACACCCTCATCATAAGAATCGCTTCAGTTAAAAGTTAAAGAATATACAAATATATTAGCATTAAAAAGAAAAAGAAAAAAAAAATCTAATCACACAATGCTGCTTCTGACTAAAAATAAATAACACATTTAGTACAAGGCAATGAATAAAAAACAAATATATTTCAAAACAATGGAGCCTGGTGCTGAATATACAGCCCACAAAAGCAGAAGGATACGACCCATAATCATCTTCAAGGTTATCCTGATCTTCATCACCTCCGTAGAAAAATCCAGAAAGATGTACACTGTGAGAGCCAATAACTGAAAAGGTGGCTTCCTCGCCTTCCTCAAACTCAAGGTTCAACGCACAAGTCTCGAGCTTTTCCGGCAACAATGAACACAAGTAAATGGGTTTCTTATCTCCCACCTTACACTGCAGAATACTCTTCTTAGTGGAGGACCCTGCACCTAATGTCGCCTAAACATAAAATCATGCATCTATCAAATTACAATCACAGATTTATACACAATAATCACGCGTCTATCAAATTTCCATTTACCACCAAATGTATGAAAAAATGGCTTCTACTTCAAAATGATACTTCCATAAACTCAAAGACCATTTTCTGTAACGAAAAAAGGGCAAACGCGAACAAATAGTGACATCCTCGAAAACGAACCTGGGACAAGTGAAGCCTTCCCTTCTCCTCGTCACATTCAATAACATACGGTTTGCCTGGTTTCACTTCAATTCCTGAGTTTTTCAGAATGAGAAAATTAGAGTGTTAAAACACGAATCAGCGTAGTTAAGACTGGGCAGCAGCTAAATTCAAAACAATAAGCTGAAGAAATCCTTGCGACACGACAAGTTTACCCCAGAAAGCCATTGTTGTGGCGCAATTGCAGTGTTCTCTAAAACCCTAGGGGCCAGAGCAATGCCGGTTGTGGGTTTAAAATCCCTAATAAATATAATATTTTCTCAAAAAGGAAAGAAAAATCATATTAAATAAATATTTCTTTTTTTTGGTACGGGGAACGACAAAATCGAGCCGGGTAGGACCACAAGGACAGCAAAGTTCTCCTCAAGAGTTTTAACACTGCTGACCAACGCTCGTGAATTGAAAAACAAGATGGACCAAATTTGCCCCTAGGATTTCATGGTTTGTATATTATATGTTCAGGTTTGTTATGATCATAGTACGTATGGGAAATAGATTATTTTCAATTGTTACGTCCGTCTATGTCTAAAAAATAATAGGATTATCATTTATTTTTACTTCTTTTGATCAGTGTTAAATCTAACAAGTTATAATCTATTTTTCATTTCTTTTAATCAAGGTTGTTTTTTAGCTAGAACACCAAATATGAACTTGATAGGGCTAGCTTGTAAAATAATTAATATATTATATTACCAACACATTTATACTAATATAAATTTGATTTTAGCATACATATTTATTCCTTATATAAGATAAAATAACAGTTCTACTTATTTTTATTCACCATATAATACTTAATTGTTATTTTAATTATAAATTTGGTTGTCTTATAATGTCATTATTATTTATAAATGTTATAAAAGTTGTACGTCTTCTTTTTTTTATTTATTTAATAAAAATATTTAATGCACATTAATATTATTTATTTATGTCATCAATTTAAAATATATAAATGAATTTAAAATTAAATAGTATATACATATTTTGGAAAATATACACGCATATTTTTTTAGAATTTAATTTTGTATACTAATTAAACATCTTTGATTTAGCAAATGTCAAAAACTCAATCCCTTCTATAATTAAGATTTTTTTCTAATTTGCATTAGAAAGATTTATAGTTTATTTAACATATTCTACAATAAAAAATATTTTTTTGACACTAATTTCATTATAGAAAGAAATCAAAATTAAAAAAATAATAAAAAAATAATCATGATTGTCAATAATATACAAATAATATTAAAAAAACAATTAATATATCTCAATTTTTATTTTTTTCCATTAGTAAAACTATTTAATGTATTTGGTGATTATCTCTTAAATGGTAAATTATATTAATTTGAAGAATAATTTATTTTTTTATATAACAAAATAAATCTTAAGAAAAAAATTATATTGGCAAAAATTAGTTCATCAACTCGATTTCGTCTGATTAATTGGAAGAAAAATCTAACTAACATGTTATGATTTTTTATAAATATTTTTGGATAAAAAAGTGAATATTTTGTTAAAAAAAATTAATATTATATAAAACATAAAATATGTTATATTATTTATTTTGACCAAAATATTATCAACATGAATCACAGAAAATCAATCTTGTAATATATTATAATTGATATAAATGAAATTATTGCAGATATTAATAAAATTATTTAAGGAAACAACATTTTTGATCATATCTGATTTGATCGTATTTAAAAACGTGTATATGGAAACAATTAATGCAGATATTTAAAAAGTTCCCAAAAAAGGTATGCGTTAAATGTTTTTCAATTTTTTTACTACTATTTTTAATAAATGGTTATTCTTATTATTTATAGATATATAGATTTTGGGATTATGTTCTTTCATTAGGATGTTGGCAGATTGGTTTAATTCTTTCAAATACAAATTATTTTTTCGTGATCCCCTTAATTTTGTCCGGTACGAATATCATAAGATTGGTCTAGTTTGTTCCACGAACGACGGAATCTGTTTTATTAGTTTGTTATATTTTTCGGGCTGTTGTATCGCTCAAAATTTTGGGGGAGAAAATTCTCGCCATTTTCATATATGATGATAAAATGCAGAGAAGACATACAAAGATCTTATATACACGTTCACATGCTAGACTGACAAAACGACGTCGTGTTCAATAACCTAAACGACGTCGTCCAACTACCTACACGCCTTAGTAAAGAAAAGAAAAAACTCAACCGCGCTTTGACAAAAAAGTAACAAAATAAACGAAAACAACATAAAGCAATATAAAGGAAAAGAAGAAGGAACATCTGCATGAGCAATCCACAGCATACATTCCGACAGGCTTGCCTCTTCATTTTGACATTTCCGTGTCTAGTTTAGACTTATTTTATTGCTCAAATTATGTTGATGTTAGTTAAACATTACTTTCCTACTTTAGTTTGTTCTTCAATTATATAATATTAACATTACTTTATTATGTTATTTTGTTCTCAAATTATGTAATATTTAACACCGTTTAGTGAAAACAAAAGAAATGAGATCACCACAGAGTGGAACAATTCCATTCTTTGACCCGTCCCCAAATTTTGTATATCGGTTTTGCTATGGAGCCAGCAGTTGGCTCCATATCGAAGCCAACCTTTTATATACAACAAATAAATCTACCATATTCTTTGATTACTTAAAAAACATTAATATAATTCTATTGATATGATATGTTTATTTTTTGTATATAGAAGGTTAGCTCCACTATAGAGCCAACTATTGGCTTCATAGCAAAACCGTTTTGTATATACGGGTAAAGTGGAGATTATGATTGGCATGGAGATATGAAACATGTCAATTAACTAATCAAACACCATTGTATGTATGTGTGGAGAATAAATAAAACAAAAATCCATCAGCTGTTTTTTTTTTTTTTTTTTAATGACAAAAACACTAAATGTTCAAAAAAATCTCATCCTACCAACATAAACAAGAAATGAGCATGACAGTTAGAGACACTAAATGGGTTTAATAGTACCCCTTCAACTGCACAAGGGTGTTTTTGTGAGGAAAAACTGGACCAAGAAATCTATAAAATTCCCCAACCAACCCTTTCGATGTGGGGGTGATCCATCGTACTTCCCCGGTAGCAATAACGATGTAGAAAACATCACAAGACTCGTTTTTGGATTTTACTTTAAACACCAACACCTCCATCTGCTGCAACCAACCAACCGGCTCAATACCAAACAAATTTTTATCCTCTCGAATATTCTGCAATCGACTTCCCAACACAATCTGATGTTTCAATTCCCTCCAATAATAATAATCCCCACACACCATCTCCCAAACTCGAAACACGCAATGCTTAATTTCAACCACTAGAGTAAGGGACTTCCCCGTTGACAGGTACCACTTCTGGTAACTGGGATACTTGAAAATTGGGGCCCTCATCTCCGTCATAACCTCCGCCTCCACATTCAGCGTCAGGACAATGTCCCCAACAATCGAACAAATAAAATCCTCCATGACCACCAGTTGGCCGAGGGTAGAATCAGTCAAATGGTCGGTTTCAAGATGCCTCCACGACCTGTCGACCCCCACGGTCAACATGGCCCACCGAGCGTCCCTTCCCCCATCACAATATGCCAAGGCCACCTAGTAAGCCTTGGAGGCCTGCGTGTACCCCACGCAACAATGCATAAACTTTGTGCATTCGGGGAGCGGAGGGAGTCGAAAGGCTCGTCCAGTGACGGGGTTGACCAAGAGGACGCCAGACAAGGGTGCCCAAGGTTTGTACTCCAGGATGAGGCCGTTGCAGCTACTCCAGGATCTTGATTTGTAAGCGCAGTAGTAATCAGATACTCTGACACGTCCATGTTTCATAGACACGAAAACCACGCGTCGGGAGGAATGTCGATCATTATGAATAAGCTCACGTGTTGGGGCATAAGTGAATCGGAACAGGAGGCCGTATTCATCAGTTTGCTGCTGGAGGTGGAGGTTTACGAATTCCTCGGATTGGATCGTGTGGTAGTACAGCCTCCGGCAGACACGACTTGCCGCGTAATAAATGTCTTGAGCAGAGAGGTTCAACA